TATGATGAGTGGTGTATGATGAGTGGTGTATGATGAGTGGTGTATGAAAAGTGGTGTATGATGAGTGGTTTATGATGAGTGGTGTATGATGAGTGGTGTATGATGAGTGGTGTTTGATGAGTGGTGTATGATGAGTGGTGGTTGAACAGCTGTTGAATGTCCGTAACACGGAAGTTTTGCACACTAAACTTCCTTTGATTAATTTGTTATATATTCAAAAAGGAAAATATTTGTGAAAATAACAAAAGCTTATGTGCCACACAAGGACCTCTCTCTGGGGTGGGGGAGGGGGTCGACAAAAAAAATTTTCTTTTTGTTGGTCGACCCCCCCTCAAGATCCAGAGATTAGGAGCCTCTGGAAAAGGCTAGGAGGAAGGATTGACCGAATGGTCGAAGATTCTTTTTCCAGATTAGTATTTATTGGGAAAGGCTGAGAGGGAGGGTCTACCCCCCAAAAAAAAATGAGTCGACCCCCTCCTCCAGATTAGGATTCTTTGGCAAAGGCTGGCAAGTCTAGTAGAGCAGAGTGATAAAAGCAGGTGTTTTACTCTTGAAACTAATTTTCACAATTTTTGAAATGTATGCAACTGACTTTAAACTGAAGCATGCTGGTATTACAGTATAGTGTGTTAAGCTTGATGCTTTCACCATCAAAGCTGAAGATCAAAAGAAGCCAAGTGAGTGGTTTTTATCAATAAGATTGGAGGCTGGAGAGTGAGGAAAAAATGTGGATATTAAATACCTAATTCACTTTACCAAGTTGTAGAAAATCAAACTGTAGAAATTTCAACATCTAAAGATAGATGCATTCAAAATGATGAGTATGATACTGATACTGATGATATTGTTAGTGACATTGAGAAAGTGAACCAAAAAATGATTAGGATATTACTTGCAGGAGCAAGCAAAAGTCATATTCGTCAGAAAATGGTTGATAATGGTTACACAATATTATTTGTATGGCCTACTAATAGGTTATCACATTACTTTGAAGTTGGCACCAGAACACTAAATAACAATATTTTTGGTCAAAGTGTTGGTGATGTTTAAATGGAACCATTTGATTATTCAGAATTTGATGTCATAGCAATCGATCAAATCTATTTCATTGGTTTGAGTCTTTATTGCAAAGCCACATAGTTTGTTGAGCAATTCGTTTTTGCAACGCGTGATACCAAACAACTAAAAACCAGTTCAGGAGTTAACAAATAGGTATATCAAACAGCTTCTTTTTTCAGCACCATTTGTTGAAATTTATAAGACATACTTTAAACTGAAACATGCTGGTATTGCAGTATAGTGTGTTAAGCTTGATGCTTTCACCATCAAAGCTGAAGATCAAAGAACCCAAGTGAGTGGCTTTTATCAGGCTGAAGAGTGAGGAAAAATGTGGATATTAAATTACCTAATTCACTTTACCAAGTTGTAGAAAATCAAACTGTAGAAATTTCAACATCTAAAGATAGATGCATTCAATGTGATGAGTATGATACTGATACTGATGATATTGTTAGTGACATTGAGAAAGTGAACCAAACAATGATTAGGATATTACTTGCAGGAGCAAGCAAAAGTTATATCAGCCAGAAAATGGTTAATAATGCCTACACAATATTATTTTTATGGCCTACTAATAGGTTATCACATTACTTTGAAGTTGGCACCAGAACACTAAATAACAATATTTTTGGTCAAAGTGTTGGTGATGTTTAAATGGAACCATTTGATTATTCAGAATTTGATGTCATAGCAATCGATCAAATCTATTTCATTGGTTTGAGTCTTTATTGCAAAGCCACATAGTTTGTTGAGCAATTTGTTTTTGCAACACGTGATACCAAACAACTAAAACCAGTTCAGGAGTTAACAAATAGGTATATTAAAGAGCTTCTTTTGCAGCACCATTTGTTGAAATTGACAAAACATACTTTAAACTGAAGCATGCTGGTATTACAGTATAGTGTGTTAAGATTGATGCTTTCACCATCAAAGCTGAAGATCAAAAGAAGCCAAGGGAGTGGTTTTTATCAATAAGATTGGAGGCTGGAGAGTGAGGAAAAAATGTGGATATTAAATACCTAATTCACTTTACCAAGTTGTAGAAAATCAAACTGTAGAAATTTCAACATCTAAAGATAGATGCATTCAAAATGATGAGTATGATACTGATACTGATGATATTGTTAGTGACATTGAGAAAGTGAACCAAACAATGGTTAGGATATTACTTGCAGGAGCAAGCAAAAGTTATATCAGCCAGAAAATGGTTGATAATGGTTACACAATATTATTTTTATGGCCTACTAATAGGTTATCACATTACTTTGAAGTTGATACCAGAAAGATCAATAACACTATGTTTTTCAAAGTTTACCTTAGCTGCTTCACTACTCTTTGCAGCCTTAGCATCAATTCTTTTGTTTTTGACGCTGGAACATGTGATGCAAGACCAGCTGTTTCACTACAGACTTCATATCCTTTGTGTAACAGGCCCAAATATAGTAAAGAACACACAAAAACACTGAAAAACACGGGCCCTCACAGTGTTCCTCTCTCTAGAAATTCCGCCCTCCTGCTGTTCAGTCCAAGAGGCGTATCAAGTTCCAACGGGGCTTGGAGTCTTTTGGCGTTGTGTCTCAAGACTTGTCTCAAGATAGGGAGGCCAACAGAAGAGCGAATACACTGAGTAGAACTTATAGGTAGTTGGGAATGTGCAGAATCCCAACACGTTGAGTCTCTTTGTACACCCATTCAGCCAAGAGCGGCAAGTGGCACACGACTCGGAAGCAAAGGCGCCCCTCAACGCAGTCAGTTTCGTAAAATAACTAGTTTTCCAGGGCGGCCCTGAGTAAATGGTTAAGGGATGTTAAGGGTAGATGCATGCTATCCATGGGTTGTGCGTAGTCTTGCACCCTTTAATGGTTGAGAGAGGCGGGGGCCACCCTGTGAAATTGCTGGATAAGTGACTCAAAATCGGAGCGACCGGCTTATATTATGTAGTATGAATTTGCATTATACAGTTATATATATATAGTCTTATATATATATAAGTGTGGGTGATAACCTCGGACAGAAAATTCCCTCGTGGTGTGCATGACTGGGTTCCATTGAATAAGCGGTGTTGACCACAGAATTGGGAAAGCCAAGAGTTTGACCTTTCGGGGAGGTGAAGCGAGACCATCTCAGATTGTCAGCAGTGTTCTCTAGAAGCAAACAACTCTCATTGGGTCCTCTAGATCACCAATGTTTGTGAGGAAGTAGTGTTGTTGGAGCATCTCAATTTGTCAGACCTGTATAACTGATATGATATATAATTGCATCCCCGAGGCTCCACTTGCTTTGCCATGCCTTCCAGCATGACTTGGACTGATGGGCAGCTTCGGCCAGTCGGTTTTCGCATTAGGCGCAGTGAGTCTAGGAGCCAACATGCATGAGATTAGAGTATTGAAGCCGAAGACCCCCACACCTACTGTATATAAAAAATTGTAAAATACGTACGCGGTCCCACCTAAAGCTACCTCCACGATCAAAAGAAGGCCCTCAGAGGCTGAAGTCCTATGAGCTGCAGGACGACCCAGAAAGACCTACGTTTAAGGAGGAACATTTGGCCTACTACTACAACAAGTGCCTGCATCCGGGGGCAGTGGAATGATTTGGGATCCTCAGCACTCGCCAGTTACCGGCTCCACAAGCATCGTCCCTGCAATCTCTCGTGCTTGTCCAACTTCCTTCTCAATGTGGTTTGCTGGAAGCGTCGATGGAACACAACATATATTCGAAAATCACAGTGTCTAAAAATCTAGGTAGGCTACCACTTCCTACTTAAGCGTACCTCATAGCAGCCTACCCCCCATGGGCTCAAAAAATGACCTGAAAAAAAAAGAGAAGATGATGATGTTTGAAGGTACTTCAGGAGGGTCCTCAGCTTGAATTACTACGGGGTGGAGTCCAACTCAGAGCTCATTGATCTGGTCAAGGACTCCGCTTGGGTCCCCATCGAAATGCGGCCCCACGTGGCCTTAAGTACATCAAAGTGAAGGCTTTGTGAAGTATGGCAAAAGTCTTGGCAAAGAAAGTTATCAGGACAGGAGCTTCCTGAAATAAACAAGGCACAACAGCTGCAAAACAGAAACCCTACATGGGTGTTTTTGCTTGCATTGTCTTGTGCACATTCGCATCAGTGATTCAGTGCTTGAGGTTGAGCTATCTCCATCAATGTCTATTGAGCCTCAGCTCTCAAGCGACTCGCCACTGGAGAACTTTGTCCGCCTCACAGAGGCGCCACAAACCGACCAACACAATAGCCAGTCAGCCCTTAGTTAATAAAGTAAGCGCCTACCTAGGACGCAGGATAGCTCACGCTTCTTCAAGGAATCTCCCCCTACCTAAGGGCCGGCGGGGCTTTAGGCAGGGGGAGCTTCCTTGAATAAAGCTATTCATTTGGTTCCTAGATTGTTAGAAAAATCCTAGACTGGTCGCTTGTTTGGCTCCGAGTACAACTCTTACAACCATTCTCATTCTCCTCTCTCTTGCCTTGAGGTGCCAGCAGCTTTTCGATTGAACATGTGTTAATCTCTAAACTACCAAGCGAGACAAAAAACTGGGGAAATGTCAAACACTACCCATAGAACTTCTGAAATCGCCTGCCCAGGGCGCTGACTTTTTTTTGCCCACAGACCCATCGAATTTGAACTTCGCGCCAGGATGGAAGAAGGGACCGGCAGCTGCGAATAGATTCTGGGGATGCAGGGAGGCTCAGGGGCCAAGATTCGACCTCAATCCAAATATTGCCGTCTACAAGGTCATCGTGTAAGCTTAAGGCGTGGCGACATGACCGCTAGGCTCACTAGACTGTCAAACTGCCGAACTTTAAGATATGTGTGCAGCAAGTTGCTTCAAACGTGGTTTATGTGGTGTCCTGTGGGTTCCTTATCATTTCACCTTGGTTTCTTCAAAGAAAGGGATTTGATTGACCTGGTTTGGCACTGCGCTTGCTTCCTTTTGCACCAGTATATTGTGGGTTCGTCAAAAGCACTGGGGCATCCAGGAGACTGCCATGCTGAAGATTCAGAGACCTCGATCACCGGGCCCTCCTGTGCTGCGCTCAGAGCCACAGACTGGTCAGAAAAATGTTATGGCAAGTCGGTTCTATTCATACCTAGTGTTAAGATTAGAATTGTTTGTGTCCATTTCAAAGTCTGTTCGTGTCCCACTGTACTTTGAAGTTTTGTGAAGGAGTCCAGGAGTGAAACGGGCAGACGGCCGCTGAATCCCCAAAACTCGCACTGCCAGTAGGTGCTGATGTTGCTGAGCGTACAGTAATTGATGGTTTGAATTTGAATTGAACGTGTTTCGATGGTAGTCCTCAACTCAGTAGGCCGCCACCGGGCCACCGTCACTCCAAGTGCCAAGTTGCCAAATTTGCAGCGCAGGTTCAAGGCAACTTTGGCAAAGGAGCGTGAAGCTGAGGATTTTTGTTGTTTTCCTGTTTAATGTGTTCAATTTGTTTTTCATGTTGAACAATTACGTTGGAAGAGTTGATGTGAGCTGCCAAGAAAGAGGTCATCACTGCACGACACTTGAAAGGTCGTAGTCCTAGGATATCGATATTGGGACGGTGGCATTGGTTTCCTCCCAATCTAAGACTTCATACTTGTGGTGATGTTATTCGTTGTGGCTTATGCACCTGATACAAGTATGAACCTAATTATATATGTGCTGTACACAGTGCAGTTATTTGAAATTGCCAGGAAAGCACAATCGTTGAAAGGTGCCAACGGTGCAAACTACAATGCTCTCCAAACTAGTAGAAGTAACTGAAATACTCACTTGACTTAACGGACTGTGTTTGCTGTAAAAGATGGTGTGGATATTCTTGGACTGATTCCCAAGTGGATGAACAACGTGTGTGGGGTGACGTGGCTGATTATCAGATCAATCTTTGTGCCGAGGGCCCAGGCAAAGGGGTTTGGGCCTCAGCATTCCAAACCGACATGAACCAGTTGAATGCGATTACTTTGTAGGTGGAATCCAAGTCAATGCTTGTCTTCAGGTCCCCTTCCGGCAAACGCCACCTCCAACTGGACCAGGGTGGGGCTTGGGGTTGCTGTGACGTCCTCATGATCCAAAGCTTTGGAGCTTGATCCAGTGTTTTGAAGCAAGTTCCTTGTGAGACTGGAAGAAGGTTGCAAATGTTCGAAAGACTGCCAGGGGCCGACCGTTCTTTGGCTATGGAGCGGGAGGATGGGAGACTATGGTGGGGATGAGGTAGTTTGATGTGTTACAATGTACATGCTGATCCACTTGAATCCAACCCTAGAACTTATTTCTACCAAGAATATGGATCACAGACAGCAAAAGTTCACACTATTGGGAACATAACTTGGTCCTCGGTGTTGCTTCCTGAGCTGCGTTGAACCAATGCTGTGATCATTTTAGGGCCACACACAGAAAGCAAAAAAGCAAAAGGATTGGCGTGCGAGCTTTAGCGAAAGTGCTGGTCAGCTATGGTTAGCCCGTATTAGCCTAAAATGCCTCGAACCTTTGTTTCAGGACGCCCCGCGCTGGCAGCCCAGCCTCCTGCCCACCGGCCTGCACCTCGGCCACCTGCAACTGCAGTGACTTTCGCGCAGCGGGGACGCCCAGCGATTGCTGGACTCAGAGTTGCATGTGTGTGAGACAGCACTATAGTGACATTTGTTTACTAGTGAGGCTTTAGTAAGGGATAGTTGAGTTGAACTAAAGTTCTTGTTAGTAGAAGTCAACAGAGTTCTTCATATTGTCACATCACGATACAGTTTACAATGCTTAATTGGCCCTTCCAACTTCGGAACCTGCCAAACCAGAACAGCAGCGTCAATCCCTATCGACGAGAGACAGGTGAGAGATACATTGTCTACTGACTGGCTGACTCATTGCTGAGGTAAAGGATGCAGGAATTACACACTCTCGTACTTGAAATGCTAGTGTGTGTGTGTTTTTTTTGTGTGTGTGTGTCACACGTGTTGGTTGGTTTGAATGTAGGTGTAGGTGTGTGTGTGTGTGGGTGTGTGGAACGTGTTGTCTCACGCTATAGAAGTGTTTGGATTTGGCCATCGCAGCTTTCCTGCGGCCATGCATTTGCAGGAAGAGGGCTGTGGCGCAGAGCAACTACCCACCTGCCAAAACTCAAAGGCGCCCACACAGCGATGATTCCAATGGATGGCTAAAGAGGATGCCGGTTCAAAGGCCAAAGTTGTGTCAAGGTTGCTTTGCACCAGTTGTTTCCCACAGTTGTTCCGCTACATAGAACAGTTCCTCACATAGAAGGGCAGTCCCAGAATGTCAATGTGCATTGCCATTGTGCACATGTTTTTTTAAAAAAATACTTATGATGCCTTGAGCAGGACAAGCTATCCAGCTGGGCCCACAAGCATCGGAGGCCAAACCCATTTGGGAATGCCACTGAAACTTGTTCGAAGTGCCTTTTGTTAGCCTGGCATTTGTTTCGTCAGCCGAGACGATGTGGAAGTACGGCAAAAGCGCAAGTTGCACCGCTTTTTTACACAGTGATTTAGCGAGCATCCATGATGGCTTTGTGGAGTCAATGCAGAATTTTGTCGACATGATTCCATGACAACGCAGGCAGGATGAAGCTAACATCAACATTGACACAATCATGCACCCATTCAGAACAGCAAATGACGACGGTTTACAGCTTTGTTGATCATGGTCGACGTTGTAGTGGTTGAACAAGCAAAGAGCTATGAAATCTAACCTACACAGAAGAGGTTCGAGATGGAACAAATCAAAACGTAAAAAATATTCAAAAAACGCAATGTTGTCGCATCGCTGCGTCCACCACAAGCGCTAGGTGGGGCGGCCGCTCCGAGATACGGCAGAAGTAGTCGGAGCCTTATCCTGGAGTGAGGGTTGCAGTATTGCACGATGACCATGTATAACTGTTATTCTGTTATTCATAGTCATAGTCATAGTCATGTTTGTGGTGTCACGCCCACTCGCGACCCGCAGCGGCGCGCGCGTTTGGTGGAAATCATATTTGGGGGGGTGGGGGGGGGGGGGGGGGGGGGTTCAGTTACGTCGTTCACGGAACGTCGTCACGGAAACCAGCGGGTTCAGTTACGTCGATACGTCGTCGTCGATACGTCGGTAGCACCGCAGTTTTGGCAGCTCAATGCGTTCGTTGTCCCTTCGTTGTTGTGTGTCTTTGTGTGTTGTGATTCTTCTTCGTTTGACTCGTCGTGACTCGTCTTTTGTCTTTCCGTCTTCGTTGTTAATTTTTTTTCGCGTGGACATTTTTTACTTAGGACAGTTTGCTGGACCTGGCGACGTCGGTCAAGGATTCACTAGGTGTAGCCGCGCTCGACATTTGTTTAGATCCGGACCTGTGGGTTTTAGATTTCGATTCTCTCGAGGTGTACGGTGAATTTTTGTGGTTGTGTTGGGTGTCCGTGTGGGACCAATTCAACAGACAATCGTTCGTACCACCTACGGTCACGGCCGCGTTGTTTGTTTTGAGTCGGCGAATTCTTCGTTTTCGCGACTTGTCGGTGGCTGCCATGCCGGAATGTTTGGCTGACACGGTGCGTTCAACGGGTCGCACACCGTCTCCCAAGCAATCTTCCTCAGAAGAGCTTTGGAAGCACGGAGTATTGATGTCGTGGTTCTATTCTTTTAGCACTGACAAGTACTACGGGGAGATTCGATTGATAACGAAACATTTTTCGGAGAGTCTCGGAAATGTTACCTCCCTGAGGCAACTCCAAGTCCTCGTACTTTGCATTCCTACGTGGAGCATCTAGCCGCAGAGCCAGTATCGCCACTGACAGCAGATGACAGTCCGTGGAGCAAGAAATATAAGAGTTTCTTTCCTGACATTTTTGGTTCCCGGCACTGAATTTCCTGTGCCACTTTTTCTTTGGGGTCATTCTGTCGTAAAAGCGTTTTCAAACAAACTAGAGCCTGCGCGGCTGTAGGTTGGGCGATTCAGCAAACAGCAGCTGCAAGCTTATTCTCTGAGGAGTTCCCTAAAGAGGTTGCCGTAGACACACCATCTCCGCCACACAGTCCGGACAGGAGTGCGACAGGGGATTAGTTTTGATTTAAGCTATATAGTGTATAGTGTCTCTGGACGCTATGTTTTTCTCTCCGTGCTTTCTTTCCTTGAGGAGTTGTCTCTTGAATTATGACATGGCGGATATGGCCGAATCCGGCGCAGGATCCGCGGAAGTTGCTTCCGACCGTGACACCGTCACTCTTGCGGATGCTGCTGCTGCTTCGGACGACTTCGGGAAATCTTCTAGTGCTACAATGCAGGAGCAGATGCGTGCTGAAGAAGCCGAATACATGACGCGCTATAGTCTCGAGTGGAACTCTGGAGTGGCATGCTGGAGTCAGGAAAGAAGAAGTGAAGACCCCATATCAGACTACGATTCTCCAATGCCTGCGCCAAAACGTGCTCCGAGAGCGTGGAAATACGGGCGCTGCTCTGTGCATGGATGCCCCTTCAAAGTGCATCTTGTGAAGACGGGTCCAAATTCCAATCAGATTTGGATTCGCTGTGCCAAATTCTGGGAGCGGCTTCCAAACGGAAAGCCTGGATGTTGGAAGGGTGGTCCTTACAGAGGTGACAAATCCTCGCTTCCGAAGTCCATCCTTCATCAGCAAGCGCACCAGCGGAAGCATACCGGCTGGCTGGTGAAGCACGGGCCTCAAACGAAGCGATGACCATGGTTGAGACTGTGAAAACACATTGGTGCCACACGATGGGGGTGCTGAGGACGGAGACTGGACGACAGTTGATATACATGTTTATAAGATATATGATATATAAGATTTACGATACCATGTGTTTAAGATCTATTATATATATTATATACGAGACCATGTATATAAGATATTTGATACCATGCATATCTGTTGACTCGAAATGGTTTCACTCGGCTGGCGGCTGCCGGGTTTTGTTGAGTTGTTTTTTCCACTCGGTCGAGACATCAGGTTTCCGGGTACTTGGCAACCATGCAGTGCTGTTTGTCGAGCATATGCATGTCCAAATCAGGGTTTGGCTTTCAGGGGATATGAAAGCCACGTTTTTGCGTGAGTGTGCGAGCTGTGGATCATGTTTGTTCTGTCAAACAATACATACTCTTCATAGACGAGTTAAGCAGTGACTCACACAGTCCTTTGGCAAATTTTCGCACACTTTCACTTCGATACTTGCGCTCATGGTCTGCAGTTTGTGTGGGAAGCAAGGGCACAGTGTGACCACGTGCACTGTGCACGGGGCTGCTTTTCACCGCAAGCTGCTGAAATTGCACTGCGCCAAATCCAAGCAAGAAGGCCGGCGGCCGCCTCGCCTTGGGGGACAGACTCAGAAAGTGATCCAATCGCAGCAGAAAATGAACTACTCCGGTCCAAAAGCTGCGCAGAGATTGCGCGAGAAGAAAGGCAAGAAGGAGCTCAAAAAGCCAGGGATTTTGGTGGAAGATGCATTTGAGGCCTGTGACCGCTTGCAAGCTGCTGGCTTTTTGCAGAATCCCAAAAGATGCCCTGTGCGCAAAGGTCTTTTGTCGGACCGCTTCTTGTTCGGAAAGGGTGAGAGGCATGTGGCTGTAAAATGCAACAGCAATGAATGCCGTCGCCGCTTCAATGTCTTTTACTTTTCCGACAAACTTCCGGACAAGATCAGTCGTGCTATGACACCTCAGCAGGTTCTAGGAGCCGTGACATTGTATGTTCAGAGTGGGACCAAATGCACTCCAAGTCCTTGGAACGCTGCCCGTGTGCTGGGTTGTGGTCGCAAAAAGCCTGAGCGTTTGTTCAAAGTCTTTGCGGACAAGGAAGCTGCTGCTGGAAGGAGGCTATGCAACACTATGCGACTCAATTCAAAAGTTGAACTCGATGTGACATCCTTGCGAGTGGCGAAAATCAGCACTGCGCTGCAAACCCCAACTTCGCTCAAGAAGTTGAAGCCTGGAAATCTGGCCATGTGGGCCAAAGGGTGCCCAAGTACTTCTTGCTTTACATACGGATTGCTGGTGCCAGTCAGAGGGGATTGTCGAAGCTGTGCATTGCTAAGTTGCCTTATGTGTTGGTGGCTCCAAAAGCGAAGCCACCGGTGGAGTCGAAACAAGATGTGCAGGCTTCGAGATTGTTCGCTCGCATCAACGCTGGCACCACATGCTACACCGATGGCAACCGGTCTTGGAAAGCTGTCGCCAAGGATGTCAAGAAGCAGATTTTGGTGAAATCCGTCAGCCACCGAAATGCGCAATTCACGAAGAACCTCAAGGGCCCCAAGCGCAAGGGCGCTTCTGCTATCGGTGGGACTCAGCAATTAGATCGATGCTGGCACCACTTGAGGCGCTTCGTTGCTTGCAACCTCAAGACGAAGGTCAAGAGGCAGATCAATGCTGCTATCTTGGACAAAGCGTTCCAGTTTGTGTGGAGGTACAATGCCTCCACGCAAGATGCCACGGAAAGACTGGCGTCCTTGTAACCTGAGTTGCGCGAAGAAAAGTCAGTTTGCAACTTTTTGGGGGTTGGACAGAAACGTACACTTGTAAATCCTCTTAGAATTTCAGATCAACGTCCAAAAAAAGGGGGAATTGTGGAGCGAAATGAACATGCGAACATATGGGACAACATTGAAAACATTGGGAAGGACCATGGATGCATTTCAAATGACCTGAGTGCCGTGTGCACGACTACGCGGGTCACTCGGGGTCGCGTTACCATGTTTGTGGCTGGTGGTCCAATGTTCCCCAAGTCAAAACCGGTTGAAGTCAGCTCACCGACTTGCACTTAGCGTGCGTATGTGATGGTGCTTTGACTGTACACCCACCAAACAATGAATAATCGTTCTCAAGACAGACTCCATCATGTGGTGGGTATTCTATTCATGATGAATGATGTATGTGAGGTTATGATATTTTATGGATTAAACTCTGTTTGACAGATTGGTTTTTTGGTTTTGAACCCCCTGAGGAGATCATCCAGATGAGCCCGCTTGAAGTGGATTGCATAGACAAACAAACAAGCTGAGCAAGCACATGACAGTTCCACAGGTTCACTTTTGCACGTTTTACTTCGTCTTTGCGGTGGAAAACAGCTGGTGCGCTGGTAGCGCAGCCGGTGCTCCAGAGCCCGGCTACCGCGAGCCATGGCAGCAGCTTCGGCCGACCATCGGGCAGTTTGGCGTGCTGACGAGGTGGTGGTCGATAAGGATCCCGCACTACAGCGGAGCAGTTCCAAGCTCGATGACGGAGTGTGTTGCTTGCTTACAACAACGTCGAGGGCGACGGGGAAATGCCCGAGAAGGAGAAGGACCTCGAGAAGCGACAGTCACCGCAGCCAACAGCCAACGACGACAAGTACGAGATCCTTGCGCAGTATGCCTATCACAGGGGACAAGCAGAAGAAAGGCAGGAAAGAATTGAAGATATTGAAACCAATGACGAGAAGCAGCTTCTTTCACCGGGCCTGACTTCTCCGAGAGTGCTAACTCGCTGGGTGTCAACAAGTTAGAAGGCTTTTTGGAGCAGAACTTCAAGTTTTTTGGCACAGGGCTTCAAAGACAAGCTGCTGAGCGCCAGAGGTGCTCCTACCGCTTCTGCTGCCGCAACCATTTGTTTCGCTTTGGCTGCGTTCTTTCGGCCAAGGACCAAGGACATCAAGAGTGCTTACTTCAGCGGCAAACGTGGCCGAGAAGTGTACCTATAGACCCTGCCCGACAATCTCTTCAGGTGTAAGCCCGGGGCCACCTGCTGGAGGGTTTTGCGCGCCAATTGAGGTGTGACTCTGACTTAGCTTTTCAGAATGGCTGCGCTCAACGGGTGCAAATCAGATCCTTGCATCACAGACCTTGTGAAGCTGAGGAGTTACATT